TGATACTAAAATTCTATCATGTTTATTAAAAAATATGAATCTAAATAAAAAAACATCGTGTGAAAAATTTAAATGTTTTCGGATTGGCACAATCTATATCATATATCTCTTTACAGAGATATATATTTACTTTAATAACTTTTTTATTTATTACCCTAAAATATATTTATTTACGCTGACGTTATCCCCTTGACTTGAAAGGGAGAAAATCATAGATTATTTTAATTCAAAAGTTTCATTGAATCGGTTTATATGGAAATTACAATTATAAATTTATAATATATAATAAGTGTAAAATAAATTAATGCCTTAATTACAAAACAAAAGGATTACTTTCAAAACTTTTTCGCTTCTGGTTTTGCAGGAACGATGTTGTTTGATTTTCAATAGAATAACATCAAAATTTGGGCATTTTTAAGTCAGAGTAATTTGGATACTGCCTTCGGGGTCCAACCCATTCCTCTGCCTCAGTTTATGATCATTGGAATGGGAAATCTGCGTTCGCAGAGGTAGGTTACTGTAAAAAGCAGCAAATATTTGACTGCCCTCTCATATGCAATTTTGAAAGCTTCTACAGACATTGACATCCAAAATACAACAAATCTGCTTTGTTTTCAAATTCAATACGTGATTCATTATTGGATCGAGGTTTAAGATAAGCGGGGAAGACTTTCGAATGCTTCTTTAGAAGAACAGCTTGTCGACCACGTTTCTTTTTTATGAAACGAATCAGATATTATTATACGAGGATAGGTAAGGTACCCAGTACGGAACGCTTTTCAGGAAGTATAAGGTTATCATCGGTTTTGTTACAATTAAAAATGTTTATTGTTGTATGTTTAAACCTCTGTTCGATAGATGGATGTTTATAGATAACATAAGGAACTTTGAAATATTTATTTAAAATGAATAAAAAATAATACGAGTAAAATAGTAAAATATGAGCATGTATCTATCATGGAACACTGTTTTCATACCATGTCGCTATGTTCCATATCCAATGTCCCCAATATGGAACGGGCATTTCAATCTCACAAACATATTCTTAATTACAAGTATCGACTCGAACCGTCTATTAATGTAGGATATGTTTTTTTATTGCTATGATATCCTTTAATTTATGCAGAAAGGGTTTTAATGAATAATTAATTTTATCTTTCATTCCTTTATATTTGTTAGTAAGAAACATATGTATTTTAAACAATATGTATAATATTAACGTTATAAATTTAACCCAAATTGTAAAATTACATTTTTTCACTTTTAATTTTTTTTTGTAAGCATTTCAAGCATCTCAAGCATTTTTTATTGCAACTTTTTTTCTCGTCGGCAAACTCTTTTTCTTCTTGCAACTGTTTTATTGTTAAAGCCTTTTCTTCTTTCTATTATTTGTTGCTTTTCTTTTTATTTTTCGATATTCCACAATTTCGAATCGATTTTTACTAAGCTAATTTCGATTTTTTAGGTATTTTTAGGTAATTTTTTTAAGTATCAATCTTCTATTCAAAGTCGCCATAATGACACTAACTATTGTAGTTATTGCCTTTAAATGAGTGATTAATAAATGATGATTAATGTATACTTCATTCATTGTTAATTCTTCATTTTTTCAAGTTCAAAATAAATAAATAAATAAATATGTCAATCTAATTTAAAAGTTTGTATACAGTATTTATTATGAGATACTATCGACATCTCGATAGCGTTATAAATGTTATACACTTTATATTGCATTTTTTTTTATTGAAGAACTTGATTTTGTAAATTGTTTCTAAAGAGGCATAAGAATTAAAGCATTGCATTTTAAATCCGATTTACAAAATCGGGTTCCGCGATAGAGAAATAACCTTTACAGTATGAATGTGGATATAATTAGTATTTCGATCGATGTTTTTAAAATCAATTTTTTGAGATTCGATTTTCAAGAATCAATTTTTTGCAAGAATTGCCCATCCCCGATCTGCACACATCTTTTCCGCTCAAGGTGTGACGATATTTTCTATTACAAGTTACGGAGCAAAATTTTTTATTTTTATTCTTTGATTTCCGAACCTTAATTTCCGTCCACTATTTCCACGATTCATCACCTCACATCCTCAATTTTTGAAAA